TATAAGTTGGTGGACTTGATGAGAGATTTTGGATTATAGATCAATAGTTATAAATAACTATTGTAAGGTCTATTTTATATTGTTTATGCTTTAGGTCTGTATTGGAACATGACATCCCAAGGTTTTATAATTAATGAAAAGTACAGTCTCTTTAAGAAATGCTTTGATAAATTTTATTTTATCATACTTTATTTTGGGAACAAATTCCGCGACTGTTTTCTGTAAAAGATTACTCTGATTTAAAAAATAAAGCATAAACAAATCGGTCTTTTCTGGCCGTGAAATTGGGGATGTCACACATCCTTCTGAATAAATATTGAGGAATAGATGATTCTTAGGGAAGATACTTAAGAATAAAGAAGATAATGGGGATGAGTAATTGGGTGAATTGTTTAATGATGAAACATAATAATTTTATTATGGTGGGTTGAAAACCCTATGTACTCATCAGGTTTCCTAACCTGACCCACTCAGTTTATTTGTATCAAAGGTGTCGATATGAAACTACATTACACTGAAAGATTAAAGGAGATGTAAATCACTAGTGTACATGAATGTAAGGTCTATGTATGCTTATGTTTATTAACGATGACATCCCAAAGTTTTAACATAAACAAGATACATTTCTGTAGAAATATTTTGATAATATATTTATCAAGTTTTCTAGGAGCAAATTCTATAATACTATTCTTTAAAATGAATACTCTGATTTTTAAATAAGTATAATTTTTTAAATGACCGTGAATTTGGGGATGTCCCATGGTCCAGTCAGGCTGAAGGCCCGGAGAGCAGTCCAGGTAGGTTGTAAGCCCTACGAGGCAGTACAGTCAGGATGAAGGCTCCTATTTGAATGATGTTATTTGTTTGGTAGCGTGTGGTACTTTGGAGGAACGCACTAATCTTTAGCATAAAATTTGATTATTATGGTTACATGTGCTTCAAATGATCGGGGACAGTCGAAGGCTTGATCGTGCACATCCTACAGATTTCATGATATTTGATTTTGGGGATACTCTGATTTGTGATTATAACTTTTGGAAACTATGTTTTGTAACAATTATGGTCTTTGGCTTGATTTTAAAAAGGAAAGTTTTACCTTGTTTTTTAGGATGTTACAGAGAGGATTTGTTACTTCATCCTTTGGCTAACACCTTCTTCTTCCTTCAAAATGCAACAAAACACCAAAAAGAGCTCAACACTCGAAAAGGGACACTAGGGTTTCATAAAGATGCTTTCTGGAGACTATAGAGGTTGAGGGTGGAGGACACCCTAGCCATCACTTCCTTTAAATAGGGGTCTAACCCGAGAATCTAGGGTTTTATCCAAATCAGCTATCATGCCTTGGCCACCCAAAATGACAACCCAAAAACAATAATAACGTATTAGCTCATCCTGAAATGGGTGTTACAATTTCCAAAGAAAAATAAAAATTCAAAGTATGACAAAGCATAATAATAATTCACAAATACAAATAAATTGTTCAAATAACATTAAAAATGTTTAGTTTTAAAGTAATTTTGGAGAGTCATTAGTGTAGTCCGCACCAAAAAAAATATGGGAGTTAGGATTGCATTTTTTAAAAATCATTAATAATAATACAACCTTATAATTTATAAATTATATTTAGATTAATACATGATAATATTTAAATAATTAATAAATTCTCTCCCTCTTTCTCTGTATATATATATATATATATATATATATATATATATATATATATATAGAGAGAGAGAGAGAGAGAGAGAGAGAGAGAGGGTGAGAATACATATATATATATATATATATATATATACACACACACACACTAAAGTTAAATGGGTTGACAGTTGAAAACAAGTTGATAACTTTTACCCAACTCAACCTATTTAAATAAATGAATTAGACGGGTTGACATATTTAACGTAAACATGTTGAAAATATCAACCCAAACTGTTAATTTTAGATTGGGTTGACTGGTTGCGCCAAGTTTTTCCGGCTCTAACAGGCATCATTGTTATTTTTTGTTTTGATTTTAGACAACATATTTATCATAGTGCTTCAAGAACCTTTGTATCCACAAAAATTATTTGATACATAATGAAATTCAAGTAAATACAAATCAAACCCAAATCTAAGAATCAAGATGATCTTAATCGGATCTTTTTTGATTTGTAATATGGTATTCGTTGATTCCCATTATTTCTTCTTCTTCTTCTTCTTCTTCTTCTTCTTCTTCTTCTTCTTTGTAGCTCATTCTCTTATGGTGACATCATCATCTGATATACTCCTCCACTCATATGACATTAACCTCCCTACGATATCTCCTATATGGAACCCATTCGATCCTGTCTCGAAAAACTTGTCAATCGGAAGTCCTTCATTTGTGTGGTACCCATTTGATCCCCTTTCGGAAAATGATTGAGATCGAAAATTGCATTATTAAACCCATTTGTATTTGTTTCCCTAGGTAAGCTTGGATTTCAAACTGTTAATTTTAGATTGGGTTGATTGGTTGCATCAATTTTTTCCGGCTCTAACTGGCATCATTGTCATTTTCTATTTTGATTTTAGACAACATATTTATCATAGTGCTTCAAGAACCTTTGTATCCACGAAAAGTATTTAATCCATTATGAAATTCAAGCAAATACAAATCAAACCTAGATCTAAGAATCAAGATGATGTTAATCGGCTCTTGTTTGATTCGTAATATGGTATTCGTTGATTCCTACTTCTTCTTCTTCTTCTTCTTCTTCTTCTTCTTCTTCTTCTTCTTCTTCTTCTTCTTATGATTATTATTATTATTATTATTATTATTATTATTATTATTATTATTATTATTATTATTATTATTATTACTCTTTGTAGCTCCTTCTCCTATGGTGACATCATCATCTAATATACTCCTCCACTCATATGGCATCAACCTCCCTACAATGTCTCATATATGGTACCCATTCGATCCCGTCTCGAAAAACTTATCAATCGGAAGTCCTTCTCTTGTGTGGTACCCATTTGATCCCATTTCAGAAAATGATTGAGATCGAAAATTACATTATTAAACCCATTTTTATTCGGTTCCCTAGGTAAGCTTGGATTTCAAATCAATTTTTATCTCGAAGACAAGCAGTCGAATTTTGTAAGAAGTAGAGAGAATAAGTAATGTATGTGAGTAGATATTGAAAGTCAATTATGTTGGCTCCTTCGTTCAATGAATTGTTTGAAGTTACGAGAATCACTGCATTTAAAGACAATCTTGCTCGCTTTTCATGAATGATGGTTTGATCATTTATTCAAGGAATTGGTTGTTAGTTAATATCATTAACGCAATTGATCTCATATTATGTTTCTCTTTTTCTAGGGTTTTTTGTACTTATTAATGCTACTGATTTCATTTGTTTACTACGTGAATGCTAGTTGATTTCATCTGATGCTCTTTTCTTCTGGATTTTTTCTGTATTCAATATGATGTTCTTTTTTTCTAGGTTTAGTGTTAATTTTGGTGTGCCCATAATGGATGGATGTTGGTGGTGTACAAAGGTGATGGCAGGCGGATAATGGTGGTAACGATGATATGATGTGGTGATGGTGGGACATTATTTCATAATGTCTAAATTAACCCATTGATGCCATGTCAGCACCACGTGAGCAAGAATTAGTGACTTAAATCTAATGTGACGCTCCACATAAGTGGGATAACCAGATGATCCATTCACTTGTTTCATATGGGCTTAACTGACATCGATTTTACAAATCTAGTAACTTATTGCGTAAAAAAACTTTAATGGCCAAATAAAAGCAAAACACAAAGTTCATTGTGCTACAACGTTATTTTCTAACCTTAATGTTGTTTTATTCTCTATGAGAATTCAGATATCAAAAGTTAGCTAACCTGTATGTTTTCCTTAATTCTTATACATGCCAAGAATCGCATTGTGAATATTATGAGGTCCCTTGAGATAGAATATGAAATTCCAAACCTTTATATAGACTTAAACATGATCCTCTTTGAGTATTTGAGATATTAATTTATGAATGCATGCAATCATGGTTGAACTATATACACGGAACAAACAAGATATTAAGATTCATGAAGAAAAAACACATTCATAAATGGTTATCAAGACCTACTAAGTTGTGTTTGGTGTGTCACATTTAGCAGATAAGCTAGTTTATTTTTTGGAGCTTTTTTAAGTTGACAGTTTTAGCAAGTCAAAAAGTAACTTATAAACTAGCTTTTTAAAAAGCTAATTACATTAGTTTTTTAAAATTTTCCAAACATAACCCTTAATTAATTATATAAACACATACATATTCTTTTAAATATTATTTTATATCATTTTCTATCTTTCAACTAGTTTTATCAAAAAATATTTTTTAATCAGTTAGCTTTTTAGCTATCCGTTAATATTTTATTTAACATGTAACTTTTCAAACATCAAATAGTTTTTTATCTAACGACTAACTTTTCACGTCAAACATAACCATGTGAGAACTTAAGAAACTATACTAAATTGTGCACACAAAGATTTACACAATATTGTTAAAAAATTATCAATTTGTTTTATTTTATTTAAAAGGTTCTCGCAAATTCATGCGCGACTTGTATCAGAACAAGTGGTCATTAGTTGGTTGATTTGTTTACAAATTACCATATTGAACTCTAGTGGAATGAGTTAATACGAATGGTGAAGTTGACCTAAGAAGAGTAAACAACGATTTAATAAAAAGGAGTAATAATATTTATCAGTAATTAACTTGTTTTCGATAACTACTAAGGTTGAATATGCAATGTAATTAAATATGACTGCCGTCATAACTATTCAATTGTGAAGCTCTTTATTCAATCATGTGGTTAAATACCACTTTAATCATTTGAATATATATAGATAAATAGTTTTAAAAAGCATATATGAAATATAATCAAATTAATAGTCATATATTTTTGCATAATAATTGATATGTGAAAACAACTGATGGCTTACAAGAAATCCAATAAATAGCCACATGCCGGTAACATGTCTTTAGGTACATCCAAACCTTCCTTCCACCTCCATCAAAACCCACTCATTTACCTCTTCGGAATTTTTCATTTCCTCTTTTATGATCCATTTCAGATGTCGCCTGCTTTAGGAGATTACGCCGGCGAACAGTTGCAGCAGGCGGCAGAGAAAATCCTCTTCGGAAAATACGAGGTAGGGAAGCTCCTCGGTTATGGAGCTTTTGCTAAGGTCTACCATGGCTGGGATATTGAGGCAGAAACAAGTGTCGCCATTAAAGCCATCAACAAACAAAGGATCGTAAATGGAGGTTTAGCTGGACATGTCAAGCGTGAGATCTCCGCCATGCGACGGTTGCGCCACCCCAACATCGTTCGTCTCCAGGAAGTGCTGGCAAACCAGAAGAAAATCTACTTCGTCTTGGAGTTCGCTAAAGGAGGTGAGCTGTTTTCAAAGGTCGCTAAATCGCGTTTCAGTGAGGATCTCAGCCGTCGGTATTTCCAGCAACTGATATCCGCCATCGGTTACTGCCATTCACGCGGCGTCTACCACCGTGATCTGAAACCGGAAAACCTCCTCCTGGACGAGCATTGGAACCTCAAGGTCACAGATTTCGGATTATCGGCGGTGACTGAGCAGGCTCATTCCGACGCACTCCTCCACACGATGTGTGGTACACCTGCTTACGTGGCGCCGGAGATTTTAGCGAAGAAAGGCTACGACGGAGCGAAGGTGGATATTTGGTCTTGTGGGATCATCTTATATGTCCTCAACGCCGGTTATCTACCCTTTAACGATCCAAATCTAATGGTGATGTATCGGAAAATTTACAAAGGAGAATTTCGTGTTCCGAAATGGACATCGCCGGAGCTAAAACGTTTCCTACTTCGTCTTCTCGACACGAATCCTCAAACGAGAATCACCGTCGACGAAATCATCAAAGATCCCTGGTTCAAAATCGGATACAAAGACGCCAGTTTTTCATCCGATCATTTCGAGACTAAAGACGGCGACGATGTCGGCCGGAGCGGCAATTTGAAGAATCTAAACGCGTTCGACATAATCTCGTTTTCGTCCGGGTATAATCTGTCAGGTTTGTTCGATGAACAAGATTCCGGTGAGATGTTTCTATCGACGGTTTCTCCGGAGGAGATCATCGAGAGAGTGGCGGATGCGGCGGAGGAGGAGAGCTTGACGGTGGCTACAAGGAGAAAATGGTGTGTAAAGGTTGACGGAGGGCAGTATGGTAATTTCACATTAACTTTGGAGGTTAAACGGTTGACTGACGAGTTAGTGGTGGTGGAGGTTAGGTGGAGGGAATGTGAAAGTGAACCCGGTCCAGAAATGTGGAAAGATCGGTTAAGGCCGCAGTTGTGTAATTTGATTTATCAACCGGACGGTTCGGTTGCCGGTAATGACAATAACAGCTGAACAGTACATTTGTATGCCGTGTTAGTTTTTTCTTTTTTTGTTCTTTTTAATTTTTTAATCTTAAATAACACTTTAAAAAATTAATATGCATGGATTCATTAAATATGAATTTTGACACCTGTAGTAAGGTCAAGAGGTATCAAGAAAATATAATTGCATACGTATGGTCTTATTGATTAAATTTATAAAAAAAAAAAAAAAAAAAAAGTTTTTCATGATCAAATCTTTATCGTCTTTGTTACGTTAAAAATGCGTATATCAATATAAATTAATTTTTAATATAAAAATATATAAAAAGATTTATCATTACAAGAAAAAAACTATTTAAGATGTTTAATTAACACAACGGAAACTATAATAAAGTCCTTATAAATTACCCTCATAATTGATATGGTTGTTCGAAAGATATTTTGGGTACAGAGCGAAATAAAAAATAGGCATGTAAAATATACAAATGTTATCAAGTTTTTTTATAACTCAATAATTGAAAGAAAATTACTTATACTATCTTTTAAATATAACAATTTTTATAAAAAAAACTTAGGTTTCTTTGAAAGATTGGTCCTAAACTGTCGTCCTTATCATCCACCCTTTTGTAACGGGCCTGATAATCGATTTAGTACCTATATAATTTTTTATTCAATTAAGTTTCAAAAACCGGTAATCGTATTCAATTTAACCATTTTATCCGGTAAACAGCTCATCTAACTTTTAAAAATTATATTTTTTGCACAGATTTCAAAATTTATTACAAATTTGACCCAAAATTTACACATTTGGCCCGTATTTTAAAATTTATTACAAATTTGATCCTAAATTTACTCTATTGGTCCAAATTTTAGAATTTTTTTTATAGATTCATCCTAACTTTAATTTTTTTGACAATTTTTTTATCAAAATTTTGCTTTGAATATGTTTATTTCTTTATTAAATCATTTATATAAAAAAACATATTTTTACATCAAAAATCTTATATTTTCTATAAAACTTTTTTTTAAACTTTTTTGTAAATAATGAGGTAATTATCAATTTCAAATGTTATACATGAAAGCAATAAACTAATATATTAATTTTACAACACTAAAGTGTGATTTCCTTATTATAACTTCACACGGTTTTTTTTTTCTTTTCTTTTTTTTTTTTTTTTTTTTTTTTTTTTTTTTTTTATACTAAAATGACTAAGATGAAGGAGCCACAAAAGTTTTTGAAATGTCATGAATACAACACATTTTTTACTAGACGGTTGGCTAATCACATTACTTACGATTATTAAGATTTAGGATATATGGTTGATACCAATTTCTATTTATGTTCTAATGGTCTAATTGTCATTAAGCCTAATCGTCGTGTGACTTCTCGTAATTAAACCTAGTTGTTAATTTAAGGTGAGTGACTATTTGTCTATTTATATTTGTTTAACAACTCAATGGTTAAGTTTGATTGTCGAGGGTTGAAAGTATGAAAAAAGATTTTAGAGAATTAAAGAAAACATTATAACGAAAAACTGTATTAAATACTTATTTTTAGGGTAACTTAACATATTAACTGATTAACCATCATTATAAATGGTTTACTTTTGATGAGAACTTTCCTTAAAAGGTATATTTTACTTTAAAAAATAAACTTACATCAGCAACACATTATATTATAATATTTTTATAGTATTAAGATTAATTATTATTTTTTGTATTGGATACTATTTTTATTATATCCTTTGAAAGCTATAAATAAAAAATAAATATTAATTGCTTTTATATATATTATAATTATTATTAACAAAGCAAAGTATAAAAAAAAAAAATAATAATAAAAAAAAAAAAAAAAAAAAAAAAAAGACATTGACATGAAAATATTTTGGGTTTCATGAGTTTATTTCTATATATTATTGAATGAGTATAGTAGCCATTTCTTTTAACATTTTTTAGATTTAATCACTACACTCTATCTAAAACATTACTTAGTGGTTTGTTATAAATTTATTGTTTTTGTCTTGTTAAGACGTATGTTACACATATTTTTTTATTTACAAATAAATAACATCACTTTGAGACATTTATATAAAAATAAGAAATTTAACTAATAAGAAATGGAAACAATATAATTTTTATTTGTTACGCTTGAAAATATATAAAAAAAAAAAAGTTCAAAAACTAAGATTTCCAAAACACGTAGTGTGTCTCGAAGGTTAATTAACATGGTGTATTATTGAAACAAATTTAACTATGAAATAGGTCTTATTTTTATATTTTTTTTTATAAATATGTGTTTGCATACAAATGTATTTATAATAAAATAAGTGTTTGTATACATTTTTTTATAAAAAAGATTTGTATGTATTTATGTACTTAGTAAATACCTATTTCTATAAATATATATTTCGTATACAAAAACATTTTTAAAAAAAGTTTTTATATATAAAATATAAGATTATTTGTGTAAAAATATATATTTTTTGTATAAATATGATTTTATAAAAAAAAATATATATTCAAAACAAAATTTTGAAAAAAAAAAAGTTATAAAAACAACTAAATTTAGGGTGAATTCATAACAAAGTTCTAAAATTTGGGCCGAAAGGATAAATTTTAGATTAAATTTGTAATAAATTTTAATATCTTGGATAAAAATGTAGATTTTGATCCAAATTTGTAATGAATTTTGAAATCTAAGCTAAAATTGTAACTTTTGAAATTGGATAATCTGCTAACCGGGTAAAATGATTAAATTGAATATGATTATCGTTTTTTTGGATTTAATTGAATAAAAAAACGATATATGGATTAAATCAATTATGAGGGTAATATGTAAGAATTTTATTGTAGTTTTTCCTTCACACAATGGTAGAAGTATATAGTATATTTTTAAAATTTTGCTTTCATATCAATTTATGGGATATCTAATAGGATATAAATTTTAAGATCGGAATCTTAAATTAAACAATTGAATTTTTAAAATAATCTGAATTTTAAAAAAATCGGAAAGGACAAAAAGAAAGAAAATTATACAAAGAGAATATGGAAACATATTTTTTGAAATATTAGCCTATTTCGGGAACGTTATGTATTTTTAATTTTTTATTCAAATATAAAACTGATTCTTGAAAAATTAAAAGGTTACTGAATAACTAAATGACAAAAATTAGAAGGTTACCAAACGCTTTGAATATAATAAATTAAAAGTCTACCTATTAAATGAAATATTAAGACACTATCAACCAAACCTCTTATTAATAATATTGAGAAAAGTTGTTAGTATAATCAATTATAAATATTGAGAAAAATTCTTAGTATAATCAATTATTTGTTAGTACAATCAATTATAAATATTGAGAAAAATTCTTAGTATAATCAATTATTTGAATAGAATTTTAATAAGTACAAAATAAATGGGATACGTGGATCATATTAAAAGTAGTTAATTTAAGATAACGATTATAAGTAAGTTGAAAAAAGGGATTACAAACTTATTGCCATCTTTAAATACAAATGTTTTTCCCTCTAATGATTCTTGATGGTGATAGTTGTAACAATTCGCCTATACTGATCATGAGGAATAGACTTTTCAAGTGATAATTTTGGCTTTGCAAATCCTTTAGTCTTTGTTCATCCTCCATTATTATGCCAAAAAATTTCATCTCCATCATATCACCGGTTAAGATTTGGCCAAACTTCCACATCAAAAATTTTTATGGTCGATGATGCCCAGCTTGGTCCATTTTTCATTAATTAAGACTTGGACTCTAAATAATTAGATGTGACATCAATACACTTTTATGACAGTAAACCTAGCTAGGGTCGTCTTCAACAAGACATTAAAGTGCTTGTTTATGGTACAAAGCTCCCTTATCTTATCTATATGAATAGAGTTATAATGCACTTTTGCCTTTCAACAATAGTAAAAGATTGAGTTGTCACCACTAAGCTTAGTGATGTCGAACATCGTCTTTGATATCCAAGGCATGTTGAATTTTGTTGGATTTTTACCTTCCATTTATCCCACCTAGATGGAAAGGTAGAATATTGTGAGGTTTATACGACTTAGGAGTTAGGACACTCAACGTATTATATCAATGGTTGCACTGTGCATGCATGAGTGACATGATGTATGCATTTTGGTACATCGTGCACATTACATTGAAGCAATATGAGTGTTTTTGCACATAAGTTGAGTAACTTATTGTAGTTTACTAGAGAGATTGTTAACAATTTGTTATATAAATAAAACTCTTAGGAGATGTATCCGAGAAACAAAGAGCACTACTAGACGCTCTGCTTTGTGACCCTAGCAACTGTTATACTCACGGACGTTCTGAAAAATTAAATATTTTCAAAGGTTCAAGATGAACAAAAAAATAGATCATTATATTTATTATAATTTTGTTATTACTAAATAAAAATATATAATGAAAAAAATTGGATCTTGTACGGCTACCATAATTTGTACTTCCTCAACAAACCCCATGGTTATACTAAAATTTTTGTTCTATCTATCTGTTATCAATCTTTCATGTATGAAACTTAAGATTGTGCTACACTATTTTTTCGGGCTTTTCTAACCAACAACAACTTTTTACATCTAGTAGGTAATGTTTTAATACAAAGTTGTATTTTAATGAAAGTATTTTAAAATTTTATATAAAATTATTAAATTGTCAAATAAAATCTAGGAAACATTTTTAAAATGTTGTAAAAGAAAAGGTTCAGAAAATGTTGTATAAATTTTATAAAAAAAAAAGTGTGAAAATATTAAATATATATATAAACTTATAAGAGAAAATTGAAGCATTTAGAAAATATTTGGTTTAAAAGCACTTATATAAAACTTATATAAAAGTATAAGAAAAAGTTTTAAAAAAAAATTATTAGCAAAATTCGAAACATTGTATTAGAAAAAATTATAAGAAAAAAAATATCATAAAATGTTGTAAAAAATTATAAAAAGTATTAAAAATTTTGTAAAAAAATTGTTCATATTTACGTAATTGTTTTTTGTACATATTT